AAGGGGAGTTTTTGAGTTAATCAAACCCCCAAGGCCCGTCACCTAATCAAAAAAGGGGGTACGGGATACCAGTTGCCTCACGGAAAGCAAAGCGAGTGCGGAGTGCCTTCTTGGTGGCAAAATCGGCAAAATCGGCAAAATACCGGGTATTTTGCGGGTATACCTGGAAAACCCCGGGTATACCCGGGTAATACCCGCACTTTTGCATGGTTTCGGCCCCGGGACCACACCGACAGCCGCTACAACTAATGAAAACCTCGCATACCACTTTCGCATACCACTATACCATACCACTCCAAAACTAATCAAAATATCGCCAAATACCGGTCTCATACCGGTAAAGTTTGAGCACTGCTGTCTGCACGTCTCGCGCGCGCGTGAACAGGGCTCCAGGCCCCAAATGACGTGTGAGTGTTAGAGTTGTTTAGTATTGCTAAAAATCTGAGTCGGTTTAGGTTTGTTTGTTGCTGCGCGATCGCGTATTATGATCGGTGTGAAATAGTGAAAACAGCATAGTAGGTGTGAATATAGTAAGTAGTACATGCCCCTGTGTGCTCAGGCAGTCCTCTCTCTAGTGTCTGGACTTGATGAACTCGAACAATGGTATTGCTAAAAATGTGTGTGAACTCGGGGGCACGGGACGCGGCCCAAACGGGGCACAAAAACAGGGGAGGCACGTAGTGACGCAAGGGAGTTTAGGCGACGGTGGCGTCCTATGTTTCGCCCCAATGAGGATGTTCCCCGAGTGAGTGAGTGAGTATTCTTGATACGAAACCAAACAAACAAATCTCTCGAAACCAAACAAACGACGACACCACACCAGTCGACTCGCATCGGTTGCCTCCATGAACAGCGGAGCTCTTTCTCCGCGTCCACACCACACCTGGCTCCAACGTGGACACGCCCATAGTTCTTACGCAAGGAAGGAGTTTTCTTTTTAGTGTGCCTGTGATAGTACTAGCACGCGCCAGTTCGCACCTGTGTCGAGCCTGTCGGCTGCACTTGGTAAGATTCTTTTTAATTTCTTCCGCAGCTTGTTTTGAGGCGCTGCGACTTGGTGCAAGCGACCTCAGGGCCTCCGCCCTCCGCCACGCACCGTGGCCGCCGCCTCGTAGGCATGGCCTCTCTGCAAAGCAAGATCGAGGGCCACCAGGTGAACGAAGTCCGCGAGAAGGTTCGCGCCTTTGCTGAGGTGGCGGCGGCTGTGCGCTCCGACCTGCAGGCGGCGGGCCTGCAGATTTCGAGCGAGATCGCGCAGGAGGACGCCGAGGGCGGTGACAGCTGCCCCGCCGGCTGCAGCCAAAAGACGGTTTACTTTGTGAGGCACGGCGAGGGCGTGCACAACGTGGCCCAGAGGCTGTGGCGCGAGGCGAGCGGATACGACGGTGTCTCCGAGCCGTACACCACCGACAACGACCCGGACGGCAAGTACGTCGACGCCGAGCTAACAGACTGCGGCGTATCGCAGGCAGAGGCGCTGCGGCCACGGACCACCCACTTGGGCGTCGACCTGCTCGTGGTCTCTCCGCTGCGGCGCGCGACGACGACCGGCCTGCTCGCCTTCGAGGCGCACGTGGCGCGCGGCCTGCCCGTGCTGGCGCACGAGCTGCTGCACGAGACGGCGGGTCGCCACACCTGCGACAGGCGGCTGCCTCGCTCCGCGCTCGCCGCGGCGTTCCCGTCCGTGGACTACTCGCTGCTGCTTGACGAGGCGGACCCACTCTGGGGCGACGGCGCCTCGCGCGAGAGCTGCCTCGCGCTGGCGCGCCGCGCCGCCGCCTTCACCCAGTGGCTCGCCCAGCGGCCGGAGCAGCGTGTGGCGGTGGCGACGCACTCGGGCTTCCTGTGCGCGATGATGGTCAGCGTGCTCGGCCTCGGCGGCGAGGGCGCCTGGTTCGGGACCGGCGAGATGCGGACGCTGCGTCTCACCTTCCGCGGCGTGTAGATTGGGACCGATGGTGGTGTCGCGCTTGTGCGACTGCTTGCGAGTTTTGAGAGAGAGGGGGAGAGAGAGACGCTCCGATGGTGGTGTCGCGTTTGTGCGACTGCTTGCGAGTTTTGAGAGAGAGAGGGAGAGAGAGACGCTCGGCGGAGCTCGAGTCGCCGAGAGAGTCGCGAGAGGGGTCCAGCGAGGTATGGGGTGTCCGAGGACGTGTGCTGGCCCCCTGCCACCGGGTGCGACTGCGAGTCTATGCGGTGCGGGCGGGCGGATGGCGTGTCAGCGAGAGCGGCGCTCTCTCCAGACCGACGGGTCATATGGGAAACGCGTTTCGACCACACACCGAATATTTACACATCTCTGACACAAGAGGAACACGATCCTGGGCCGCCGTCTTCCACAGCAGCGACCCTCCGCTCCGCGACCGGCCTCACAGCAAGTTAGCCCGCTCCTGCCGCCCGCGGACGGCGCGCGACTTCGCCTCGCTGGCCAGCTGGCCCGCCCGCTGGCTCGCCTCTGCCGCAGCCTGCCGGAGCGCCTCGCCGCGCCCGTCATCCCGGGTGGCCTCGAGGACCATCCACAGGACGACGACGAGGAGCATCATCACGTAGGGCGGCGGCGGAGGAGGCGGCGGCGGCCGCGGCGCGGGAGATGGGGGCGGCGGCGGCCTCGGAGAGCCGGGCGGCGGAGGCGTCGACGGTGGAGGCGCAGGTAGCGGCGGGTACATGGACGTGCACCTCCCGGGAGGGGAGGGTCGTGCGGGTGATGCGGCGAGGGCGTGGCGAGTCGCGCGGCGCGGGTGTCAAAAGGGGGGGGGGGGGGGGGTGCGCCGGTGCGCTTGGCACTGCACGGCCGGAAGGGCAGTGAGGGCGGCGGAGCCGAGGGCTGCGGC